AAAACATCATCAACACTGCTTGTCAAGCAGTCAAAGATAGAGAGCACAAATCCACACATGAAAAATTCAACACCAGATTTGTGAGCCTACAACAGGCGGCAATCAAATCTGACCCCTTCGCCGCCAAACTATACGTGCAAGGGACCCAGACCCAGAAACGGGCCAAATCTACCAAATATCGCCGCTCGAGACAACCATCACGTGATCGAGCTCGTGGACCACGCAGACCACGACAGAACTTTAGCCCCGACAGGGGCAACCAAGGAAACAATTCTCGTGACCTCAAACGGGCCTTAGAGTTGTTATCTAAACACCTCAACTTTAACAACAACAGTTTGTGCAATAAACTTTCTGACCTGAATCTGAACAACAATTCAGATAATTAAACTGGTGAATCTTATCAGGACAACTTTGTTATCAATCTTTCCAATTATGACCTTGATCAATCCGAATTAGAGGTTCTAAACAAGGGACTCACATTTAGCCCCACACCCAGGTTTACTGACAAAAGTAAAACCTTTTCTGACCTGAAACAATTTTTCAGAAAATTACGTCTCACACACTTTTTCCATGATTCTTCCATTGATGGTACTTCACACCCGCTCCAAAATACACTGGTTCGCAAATTCGGTCCCCAAAGCACTTGGACCCCTAGACCTTATACTGACCCAACACTTGAGTTGTTTATCAAAGCAGTCTCCAATGACTTTTTCAAACTTGGTAATATAAAATGCAGACGCCAAAACATTACCGGCACGCAAAGAACTGCACTAAAACAGCTCAAATTTAATAGTGAAATCATTATTAAAAAAGCTGATAAAGGTTCGGCAGTAGTAATACAGAACACTACTGATTACATCAGAGGCAGAAAGACAGCTCTCTGACACTTAGTTCTATGTCAAATCAGACCATGATCTCACAGAAAGATTTTCTGAAATTGTTGCCAAGGAACTAACCAATCTGTTCCTTAAAGAAGAACTATCACACAAATGCTTTACGGGACTCTTACCGCAAAACACAGAAGCAGGTAGATTTTACCTGCTCCCCAAAATACACAAATGTTTATTTCCAGGAAAAATACCGGGCCGTCCCATCATCAGTGGGAATGGCACACCTACTGAAAATATCAGTAGCTTTGTAGACGAACACATCAAAGCATTTGTCAGCAAATATCCCAGTTACCTCAGGGATACAACACACTTCATACAGAGTTTAGAATCACTTAATCTCCCAGACAACCAGATATCATGTTGGTTACTATGGATGTTACCTCGCTGTACACTAACATACCAAACGGCGAAGGTCTCAGAGCCGTTGCACAAGCCATTCGTAAGTTTAAACCAGATTGGCAACTCTCGTCCACCGGTTTACTCTCTCTCTTAAAAATTGTCTTACACAAAAACAATTTTGTGTTCAATAACCAACATTATCTACAAGTTGGAGGCACAGCTATGGGGACGAAAGTCGCCCTGTCCTACACCAACATTTTTATGGGAGAATTGGAAACTCAACTCCTATCTGGGTACCATGATAAGCCGGACTTTTACGCCCGATTTATTGACGACATTTTCATGATTTGGACACTAGGAGAAACCCGCCTAGCTGCATTTATTAACTTTCTTAATAATGCACACCATTCCATTAAATTCACCGCAGAATTTTCCAGGAACAAAGTGGCCTTCTTGGACACGTGGGTCTCTTTCAACCAAAAGGAATGCAAACTGCAGTTCACTTTATACAACAAACCCACGGACACACACTCCTATCTGCTGTACACGTCTTGTCACCCCAGTCATATAAAAATGAAAGGGCCATTCAGCCAATTCCTGAGACTCAGGAGAATCTGCTCTTCTGAATCAGATTATGACACACACAGTAGAAATCTCATTAACTACTACCTCAAAAGGGGCTACCCGAAAAAGACACTACATCAAAACAAATCCCGGGCAGATGCGTGCAAAAGAGAATCACTCTTAGCAACCAAACCCAAACCTGCTCCAATCAGGAAACAGGTGCTCATTAGCGATTACAATCCATTGAACATGGAGCTCAACAGGATCATCAGAAACTGGTGGCATCTACTCACCGGTTCTGACACTTGCAAAAGTTGTTTCTCAATTCCCCATGTCTCGGCCTACAGAAGGAATCCTACAATCAAGGATTACCTAGTCAGGACAGTATTAAACTATCCACCCACCAAACCGCAAATTAGCGGCAAGGTAGTCAACTTCGTAAATGAGAGTTGGAAAAGAGAAGGATGCAAAATTTGAAATTCCTTATGCAAAACACATACGTTCCGCAGCTCGACATTAGGTAAAACATTCAAAACCCACAAGTTTGAATGTACAAGTAAAAACATAGTTTACTTGCTTACTTGCAACAAATGCAAGAAACAATACGTCGGGGAATCCAAAAGAGAATTTCAGACCAGACTGAAGAACACTTTGCAAACATCAGCTACAAGAGAGACAAACCTGTAGCCAATCACTTCAATAGTGATGATCACAGCACCAAAGATGTTAGATATAACAACATAGCACAGCTCAAGGAAAACCCTGAGTCCACTGACACCACAGTTAAGAGAAGATCACTCGAACTGAGGTGGATATTTGAGCTAAAAACGTTCCACCCGCACGGTCTCAATGACAGAATGGTTGGCTGATTATTCCCCCTTTTGGTCAACTTGCTGTAGATCTAGATGAGTTAAAACAACCTCCACCAGATCAGGTGTCAGAGCTAAATTGGTGGCTACTTCGTCAATACGTCATGCCAGGCACACGACTCAGATTTCCCGCTCCAGTCATCATGTTTGCACAGACGCGTCAGGCGAAGGATGGGGAGCACGTCACAAAACAGGGAATATAGTCGCCCCTAGACAAGACGTTACATATCAACTGTCTGGAAATAAGAGCTATCTACCAAGCAATCCTAGCTTGACTTCTCCATTCATCAGTCCTGATTGCCACAGACAATACAACATGGTCTACATACAGCATCAAGGGGGCACAAGGTCTCCACTTTTGTTGAAGGAGGTTATGCGTTGGTAGACTCAGTGAGTTCCAAGAAAGTTAAACATCCTGGGAGATTGCCTATCCCGCAGGAACAAGATCGTGCCCACAAAATGGTCACTTCATCCAGAGATAATCAAGTGGATAACATCAATCTGGGATACTCGACATCTTGATCTCTTTGCAATCTGCCTCAACAACAAGCTACCGGTCTACGTCAGCCCTGGACCGGACCCTCTAGCCCTGCAGGTTGATGCCCTGTCCATGAGTTGGGAGAGTTATTCCATATCAGTTGCACAGACAGTGGCAAGCTCTTGGAGACCAGCATCCACTGCCATCTTTAACAACAGATGGAACAAGTTTGTCAAGTGGAGAACTGGAAGAGGCCTATTAGACTCAGACATTACACTGCCTATAGTTGCTGATTTTCTATTACATCTCAGAAACTATAAGAACTTCAGACATGGCACCATTGAAGGCTACTGATCAGAGAAAACGGTTATTTATATACCTGGAAGCCTTCATGAGAAAAGGATATCACCAAGGCTACTGTGGCAGGATGGCTCAAATCCACTATCTCAGACAGCTATTGCAGAGCACAATTCTCCACGCCAACATGGGGAAGTTGCAGAGCTCACAAAATCACACAATTCCCAGGCTATATAACTCTACAAGGTTAGTTACCCCCCCCCCCCCCCCCTTGAACAGTCTGCTAAGTACATTAAGGTCATGTCATGGGTAACAGGGAATCAGAGATTGTTGGGAAATAAGTAACATAAGGTTTTCTACTTGAAAGCCATGGATGTACTGATCTCCAGACACTGTTGTCAAAGGGAGACTCAAGGAACAGAATAACGGTTAAACCATTTATATGTATTACTAATGGGAAGTCATATAAAGTCTCGTTGGTTTCACCAAAGTGGTAAACGTCTGAGACCTGCATCACTTCGGGCTTTCCTCCCACATTAAGCTGACACACCGTGATATAACTGGAACACTGTTAAAAGCGGCGTTAAACCCACCTCACTCACTCACTCACTCACTCATATAAAGTCATATAGAAAATGACAACATATCTATAATACACCTAAAAGGAGATAAGGTTTCAATTATGTTGCCTCAAAGAGGATTCATGTATCATTACAGGAAGTATGTCAAGAAAAACCTTAGAAGCAGCGGTAATGTCAGTAAGTATCGATAACCGGAAGTGACATAAGGAAGGTCAGAGGAAGTGACATCAGAACCACTATAACGTCAGTTTACAACATCAAAACCGCTAGCGTCCCTACAAGTAGACGTCATACAGCCTTTTTCCAGGGAATCTAGATTACAAGGCAATTACCTCCTGTCTCCTTCCCATTTATATTTATACATATATATTTCCCCTTCAACTGCTATCTGGGGATACTAGATGCCAGATCCCACCGGTCCCTCTGGTGTATTTTGGCAATGATGTAATAGAACTAGGGTATTTATTCAAAGGAATTATCAAACAATAGTTAACATTGTGTATACTTCTAAGAATACTTCCTCTATTACATCAGGAATTAGTCCCTCCCACCTCCCCAAATAATCTGCATCTAGTGTATGAGGATCATGGGTGAAAGAAGTGATGTGTTCTCGTCTCGTTGAAAATTTAAATAAATTTATAGTGTGATAGACAGCCCAAACAGAAATTTATAACAATGATGTAATAGAGGTAGTATTCTTAGAATTATACACAATGATAACTATTGTTTGATTTTTCACCTTGTCAAAGAATTGGTTATGCTCATCAGCTTTCACCTTTTTGGTATAATCAAAATTAGATAGTTCATGACACATGTTTCTGGTGATGATGTGGGTGCTTCTGTTCTGTTTTTGAATGTGATGCAAATAGCTTTTTTGTTTTAGAATGGCACTAATCCTTTGTTTTTTACCATAAATTTATAGAAAACTTAAACAATGATTGATTTTTATTAAACTAACTAAAATGAGTTGACTTTGTTTCAGACATGGACTGTTATGTGACATAGTGCTTGTCGTGGACTCAGTGGAGATTCCATCTCACAAAGCCATCTTGTCTTCCTGCAGTCAATATTTCTATGCTATGTTCACTGGAGAAATGGCAGAAGCAAAAGCAAATCGCATCACTCTTCAGGAAATAGATGCAAAAGCATTATCACTTCTCATTGAGTTTGTCTACACATCAGAAATCCATGTGACTGAAGATAATGTACAGGTACGTTCTGTCACACAAGCCAGTTTCATTGCTTCCTTGTGATTCCATTTGCCCTGTTGTCTCTATATGAACTGATTATCTGTGTACGATAACTTTGGATGTTTATGATAGTGATATTATAGTATAATGTACTTAACGAAAATCATTAATTATTTCTTGACACAACATACTGCAGTTTCCAACTTCATTTCGATCATATAACATAGAACCAAAATGTGCCACTTCCACACCCAGGGCACCTGTGGCTCTTGGTTACACATCAGAGTTATCTGTCCTTGCCCTTGTCCTTGTTATATCCTTCAACAGTGGGTTTATCATACGTTCTAGGTGAATGAAACTTCAGTTTGGTCTTCCTTGGAATTTCTTTCTTTTTTGCATTATTCATTATGTGAACGATAAACTGATTTTCCCATAAAAGAAATTCTGTCAGCGTGACGTGTTGTTTCGTCACAATTGTCGGTAAAGGCTTGCTTGATCCATAATGTGATGTTTACATATGCTTACATAAATGTATAATTTTTTAACTCCTGCATTACTCATTAATGCATTTACAGCTTACATTTGACAGAAACGAAGCTGTGAGGGGTCAAGCTGAAGAGATGCAGGACTCAAGCGCAGCACCCACGTGACGCCAGAAGTGATGATGTCACGCAACTTAACATAATTTTTACTTGCATTACTCCTTAATGCATTTACCTTTTACCTTACAACAAAAGAAACAGCTCTTTGCAATGGAAAAAAAGCTGTTTCTATCTCAAGCCTGCTTTTTGCAGGACCATCAGTGCTTTCATGTGACTAGTTGTGACGTCACATTAAATTATATTACTCCTCGTCGTCGACAGAGAAAGTTTACCTCTGACCAAGGAAGTCAAGTTTGTTTTCAATTCTCGACTAGGTATTAACATGCTTATGTATATTTAAATATCCATAGCCTTTGGCAATATAAAGAGTTTTTCGTGTGTTTGTATTTTATACACTTTGAGAAACTCCTAAAATCTTTGGTGATTGCAACTGTGTGTTTACCATCGGTATGCCGAAGTCTACTTCAAGTACAACTTCTAATTTTGTGTGACACATGCTTGCGCGGTGTACAATTTGCAGTGGTAAAAAATCTTTCCAAATTTCCGTAATTTTTGTTCACCTCTCTCTCCGCCGAGTTTCTCTTATTGACAGGTCACATCAGTGCTAGGTCAGCTTAGCACTGCATCGCCTGCCTACTCTGTAGCGCAACAGATGTATGTGCATCCTCCAGCACCATACCTGCAGAATAGTTGGTTGCAGAACTGCAATCCATGGCACATATGTACCAGGTGCCGGCGCCAAGTACCAACCTCCAGCATCAGCTACACATTTCGTCACACAGTTCACTCTCACCAGGTGCTTCTTTAAAGCACTCTGCTATAGTAAGAACTACGCACTGCAGTAGAAGTCACTCACCTACGAGGAGAGCGCATCACCACCATTCGGATTTGAGAGATGTATCAGGCGGGGAGGATGGGGATTCCTCTGTAGAATAATCCATGCCTTCGCGGTAGCGGCCCAGGCTCACACTTTGGATGAGGATGATTGGCTCTTCGAGACCAACCATGCTCAAAGTCCCAGGCACCAGATTTGCTTTCATTGAAACTGAAATCAGGCTTTATGAGGAACCATCTTCAAGCAGCCCTAGCAGAGATCACTGTTACACACAGGCTTGGTTGCTTAGTGTTCTCCATGTGGGATTCAGAGTTTAAATGCCGGCTCCTCAATCTGCCATGGTCAGCTAGTGTTCTGTTCAATGACCAAGTCACAGAAACGCACGCTCAGGTCTCCAATTACGCAGGGGGTGAGACCTCGCTCAAGGCATTGGAGCATGTGTCTCAGAGCTTTTCCTGCAGGCAGGTCAAGCAATTACAAGCCACGACGCTTGTCTCTCAAGGAGCAGGACCAGGATTTATTTTGTGGTAAAGGGCATGGTAGGGGCAACCCACAAGGCTCCGATATGTCCCACTGTGGAAAATTCCGAGGCAGGGTGGGGGATAAGAGGGGGAAACACTGAAGCGTTGGACAGTCACGACTGGGAGCTCCCACTCCCAGTCGTCCCAATTGTCGACACCCCTGTAGATCGTAGGACTCTTCTGGCAGAACTGGGCCTTACTGAAGGACGTTTTCATACTCAACGTACGTACACAAATAATCAAACCAATAACTGACTTTCTACACCTGAGGAACATCTGGTTCGAGTCGTACATAGACTGCTGTCTCCTGAGCCATCCGAACATGTTCACCCTGGTACGCTAACGGGATTTCACCAGGCGTCTGTAATTTAAATTGGGATGGATCGTAGTTAACTCCTTTGTGCGGGTTCCAGTTCATAGGGGGCCTGTTCCAGACAGATCAGTGCCGAGTGCCCATCTTCCTTGGACCAAAGAAGGACTCCAACAAGATGAGAATGATTCACAATCTCTCTGTTCAATGAGCGCTACCTGGAGCGTCCGCCATACTTCCACTTAACTCCCTTGACACTGCTCAGGACCAGAATCAATGCTTATGATTCCCTGATCAGCCTCGACCTTCAGGACTCTTATTTGCATGCCCCTATCCATCCCAGTGACCAGAAGTTCCTCAGAATTCAGTTCAGTGGTGTCAACTACCAATGGTCAGTACTTCAATTTGGTATTTCAGTGGCCCTGTGGTTATTTACCCGTCTCACGAAGCCACTAACTGCCTACCTACACCTGAGGGACTTCTATTTCGAGTCGTACATAGACAACTGTCTGCTGAACCATCTGGACGTGGCGACCCTGATCCTACACAGGGATTACACCAGGCGACTGCTACATCAACTGGAATGGATGGAGAATGAGACAAAGTCGGAACTTTCCTTCTTATTGTCGCCAGTTCTTAGGAGGCCTATGAGCTCCTTACAGTACCATGGGACAGATGGATCAAGATACTGCACCATCTGTCTTCTGTTCTCCACAACCCCTCACACTTCAAGTGATCCTGGGATTACTCACGTCAGCCCAGGATTTGACGAGCAGACGTCACCTACACCTGCATCCGATCAAGCAGTTCCTGGCGCCTTAGTAAGATATTAAGGCCCTTGAGTATCCATCTCTCTACCACCTTACTTCAGGTGAGTCAACTCACCTGGTGGACGGAAGAGTCTGACGTCTTAGGAGGTATCTCCTTTACAGAGTTATCCTCAACGTCACACCTATTCGTAGATGCCTCACTACATGTTATGGGTGCTCATCTTGAGGACAAGACACGGTAGCTCCAAAGGAATGGAAGCATCATCCCCAAGGCGTTTCATCTCATGTGTCGGCACCTTAGTCAACTACAAGATCTCAACTTATGTTTCTCTGATTCCATTCCCACAGGCTTGGGTGGTGGATGCATTCAGTATCCCTTTGAGAGCGGCTAAGAGCATACGCTTTTCCACCCCCTGTACTTCAAGGCATCCAAGAGCCTCGCACCTTGGTGGCCAGCAAGAGGGTGGTTCATAGACCTCAGAAGTCTTGCAGGAAGCAATCCACAAGCTCTGCCGTGGTGTCCCAACCTACTCATCCATCTGCACAGCAGGTTACCACACCAAACACCAAGCAGGTTTCATCTGCATGCCTGGCTCATCTTGAGAGAGCGCTAGGTGCTATGGTGCACAGACCTTTGACCCTAGACCTTTATAATGATAAGTGGCAATCCTACGAAACACTTTGTAAAGGAAAGGATCGAGACACCACTTCAGCGTCTCCTCAATTCCTGGCTGAATGTATCCTTTATCTGCATAATAAGTGACAACTAAAAGGCAGAACCATTACTACTTATTTGGTTACTCTCGCTTTGAAAGTGTTAGGCACAGAGCTGTTAATCTCATGGATGTAATTGCCAGGAATCACCTACCGGGACAGCCTGACCAGTCATTCTCCATCCCACCTTTATCATCGATTGTGGGAGCCGAAGATGAGGAGAAATTCTTATTGTGCCCTATGCATGCTCTGCGAGTTTACATCCATCGCTGTTTACAAGACACTGTGTGGTGCTCGGAAACACCTGTTTATTCCCATCTTCCAGACCTCCATGACTGAAATCAGCCACAACATCATAGTGTGGTTGCGCACCATCATCCTTCAGGTTTATGAGATTGCCAACCTTGATCCATCAGGAGCTAACATTCCTCATGAGATGCGGACAGGTGCCTCTGCGATGGCTCTACACAGTAAGTGCTCTATTAGAGCTATCATGGAAGGATGTTTTTGGAGGTCCGACAGTCCTCGCAAGCCACTATATGAAGAACGTGTCCATGGAAGATGTCCGTGAAAAGCAGTAATGTGTAGTTGCATGACATCATTGCTTCCTGGGTAACGTGGGTACTGAGCATGGGTAAATTCTTAGTGATCTGTGGTATTGTGTCTTTGTTGACAAATCTTCACTATCTCACAGAAGAGCCTATATTTTGTGACTTTCTACCATTAGAAGGACACTTCTGCAATACCTTGTCAATCAAAGGCTGTCAACCCATTAGACCCTATGTTCCTCAAGCCTAATGGTGCAGCTGAAGATTAGAAAATTTTCATCCACTAGCTTAAACATTTGTTGCATGTGACCAGGTATTTCTATTTTGGGCATGTATTACCCAAAAATAATTTATCAGGCTATATTTCACAGTTGAATTTGTTGGGCAATATACCTTCAGTTAGCAGTGCCAATCAGGGTATTGGTTGTCCGCTACACTGTCATCTGTTGCTAGTTTATATTTGTCAGGGTATTAGTTGTCGGCTACACTGTCATCTGTTGCTAGTTTATATTTGTCAGGGTATTAGTTGTCGGCTACACTGTCAGCTGTAGCTAGTATACATTTGTCAGGGTATTGGTTGTCGGCTACACTGTCATCTGTAGCTAGTATATATTTAGCAGGGTATTGGTTGTCAGCTACACTGTCATCTGTAGCTAGTATATATTTGTCAGGGTATTGGTTGTCGGCTACACTGTCATCTGAAGCTAGTATATATTTGTCA